GCTTCTAGCACGATCGGGCGACGCTGATGGGAAGGAACGCGAAGAAAAAGGCACGCCCGATCGGGCGCGCGTTTTTAAGAGACCTGATTAGTTTAGCCTTTATTTTTGTTTTAGAAAACGTTTAAGTACGATTTTGTACGGATTTTTAGATTACCTTCTTTCTTAGACTTTCTCTCTCTACTTAATATTTTTCTCTCTCTTAAATTCTCTCTCAACTTTTGTTCTTAATTTTTCCTTTAATTCCAGATTTCTTTTTGGTAACAATTTCTTCCCTTTTTATTTCAGTTATTCTATTTACTTCATTGATTATGATTTTATTTATTTATTTGATTAGTTTAGTCATGATGATTTGTAAGTAGTTTAATTTCTAGGGTTTAGGGGGATCTAATAGATGATATGAAGGGGTATTGTTGTGATTGTTAATTATCAATGCTTGGTTGATTTCCTATTGATTGTTTTAATGCTATGCAATTAGGTTTGGCCAGATTTAATTGTATGAGTTTAGCAATATTAATTCGAGATTCGACAGATGAGAATTGATATTTAGGCTTAGTTTCAATAGGCGGATTAGTTTATAAATGGTTAAGTCGAGATTCGACAGATGAGATTTAATACCGGTAAATTAACTCTGCGATTATAATACGTAGCGAAAGCCCTTTATAATCTGATTAACCAATGCTTGATGATTTCTTATTATGAATTGCCCTGGAATATTGTTTATTAGTGAACCTATGCCCTAGGCCTTTAATATTTGATTTTCTCCCTACTTTATTCCTTTCGACTATATTCTCCGTAGTTTAGTTCTTATTCACAAAAATATTGGTTACTTAAATAATTTAGACTATAATAATTAATTAGGAGTAAAAAGACCTGTTTCCCTGTGGAGTTCGACCCTACTTCCCTATCTACTTTAGTTAGAGGACTTAGGTAGTTATTTTTGATTAGGGGATACGACTTTACCCTGTCACTTATTTCTAGTCCTGATTTGTCTTGTGATAATTTTAGGGGTGCACATGCTAGTAATGATTGTCTTAATTTTGAACAAGCTCAATATGTTTCTAATTATAATCGATCACAAAATGACCCCTACTCTAATACTTATAACCCTGGCTGGAAGAACCATCGTAATTTTTCTTGGAGAGATAAAGGAAACCAAGGTAATAACCTTAGACCACAAAATCCACCTGGTTTCCCTCAAAGACAACAACCACAACAAGAGAGACCCTCATGGGAATTGGATATTGAAAAACTTGCTAATGCTACTTCTAAGAGAATCATAACATTGGAAAATAAGGTTGATCAATTAGCTAATTCAAACAAAAATGTGGAATTTCAGTTAGGCCAATTGGCTAATGCTATTAATTCTAGAAACCAAGGAACTCTGCCTAGTCAAACTGAGGTTAACCCTAAAGAGCAATGCAAAGTTGTAACCTTAAGAAGTGGTAAAACCCTTGATGATGTAACTTTTCAAGCCAAGGCTAAAGAAGTAATTGTTGAAAATGTTGAAGTTGAACCTGAAAAGCAACTTGAACTAAGCAATGATGGTTCTAATCCTACCCCTATTCCTGTTAACTGTTAAGCCTTATGTACCTCCCATTCCTTTTCCCCAAAGGCTTAAGCAAAATAAAGTGGATCATCAATTTGAAAAATTTCTTAAAATGTTTAAGCAATTGCAAATTAATATTCCGTTTGCTGATGCATTGATGCAAATTCCTTCATATTCTAAATTTCTTAAAGAAATCATGTCTAAAAAGAGGAAATTGGAAGATTATGAAACTATTGCTTTGAGTGAAGAATGTAGTGTTGTAATTCAGAATAAGCTTCCTCCTAAATTAAAAGATCCTGGCAGCTTTTCTATTCTTTGCACTATTGGTGATGTTAATTTTTTTAAAGCTTTATGTGACTTAGGTGCAAGTGTGCCTCTAATGCCATTGTTTATTTACAAGAAGCTTGGTTTAAATGATTTAAAACGCACTACTATTTCCTTGCAACTTGCTGATAGATCTGTTAAATATCCTCTAGGTGTAGTAGAAAATGTGCTAATGAAAGTTGGTAAATTCATTATACCTGTTGATTTCGTTATTCTTGATATGGATGAGGATGTTGACGTGCCTATTATTCTTGGAAGACCATTTTTGGCTACTGTTGGTACTGTAATTGATGTTAAAAATGGCAAGTTAACTTTTAAAATTGGTGAAGAAGAGGTGCAATTAAATTTATTTAAATCTGCCAAATATCCTTCTCTTACTGACCATGTGTTTAGATTTGATGTGCTTGATGAATTAAATAAAGAAGTGATTGATTCTATTTCTAAAGATACCCTTGAAGTGTGTCTAACAAGTGCAGGTACATCCCATAATGATGATATTGAGGTGTTGGAAATGGCCAATGCTTTAGAGGCATGCCCTCCATGGAAGAAAAGAGGTAATCAATTTGAGAAACTCGAGAAAGGTAATCCTCTTCCTCCTCCCTCTACCTTGCAAGCACCTACTTTAGAGTTAAAGCCTCTGCCATCACATCTAAAATATGCTTTTCTAGGTGAAAATGATTCCTTGTCTGTGATTGTAAATGCTTCACTATTTGATGAACAATTAGATAAACTTTTTCGTGTTTTAAGAGAAATAAAGAAAGCAATTGTTTGGACTATTTCTGATCTTAATGGAATAAGCCCATCTGTTTGTATGCATAAGATTTTGCTAGAAGAAGATTATAAACCTGTTGTTCAAAATCAAAGAAGATTAAACCCTGACATGCAATAAGTAGGTAAGAAAGAAGTTTTAAAATGGTTAGATGCAGGAATAATTTATCCTATTTCTGATAGTCCTTGGATTAGTCCTGTACAAGTGGTACCTAAAAAAGGTGGAATGACTGTTGTGCCTAATGATAATAATGAATTAATTCCTAGTAGAACAGTGACTGGCTGGAGAGTTTGCATAGACTATAGAAAACTTAATAGTGTAACTCGAAAAGATCATTTTCCTTTGCCATTCTTAGATCAAATGTTAGAGAGAGTTGCAGGTTATGACTATTATTGTTTTCTTATGGATATTCTGGTTCTAATCAAATTCTTGTTGCTCCTAATGATAAGGAGAAGACTACCTTTACCTGTCCTTATGGTACATTTGCTTTTCGTCGTATGCCTTTCGGTTTATGTAATGCTCCAGCTACCTTTCAGCGTTATATGATGTCTATTTTTTCTGATTATATAGAGAAAATTATGGAAGTGTTTATGGATGATTTTTCTGTTTTTGGATCATCTTTTGATAATTGTCTAGCTAACCTTTCTCTGATTTTGCAACGTTGTGAAGAGACTAATTTAGTTTTAAATTAGGAAAAGTGTCATTTCATGGTACAAGAAGGTATAGTGCTTGGGCATAAAATTTCTGCAAAAGGAATTGAGGTAGATCGTGCAAAAATAGAAGTAATTGAAAAACTCCCACCTCCAATTAATGTTAAGGGAATTAGAAGTTTCTTAGGCTATGTGGGTTTTTATAGACGTTTCATTAAGGATTTTTCTAAGATTTCTAAACCTTATGTGATTTGTTAAATAAAGATGCTCCCTTTGATTTTAATTCTGAATGTTTGCATGCATTTAACAAATTAAAGCAAGAGTTAATTTCAGCACCTATTATGATAGCTCCAGATTGGAATTTTCCTTTTGAATTAATGTGTGATGCAAGTGATTATTCTCTTGGTGCTGTTTTAGGGCAGAGAAAAGATAAAAAGATGCATGTAATTTATTATGCTAGTAAAATGCTTAATGACGCTCAATTAAATTACACAACTACTGAAAAAGAAATGCTTGCTATTGTGTTTGCCATGGATAAATTTAGATCTTATCTTATAGGGTCTAAAGTAATTGTCTTCACTGATCACTCTGCCTTAAAATACTTGTTAAGTAAAGAGGAACTTAAACCTAGATTAATTCATTGGATTCTTGTACTACAAGATTTTAATTTAGAAATTAAAGATAAAAAAGGCATTGAAAATACTGTTGTAGATCACTTATCTAGATTGGAAGTTGATAATAATTCTGATATACCTATAAATGAATCATTTCCTGATGAACAATTGATGGCAATTGCTAGTATTCCTTGGTATGCTGATTTAGTAAACTATATGGTAAGTAGTATTATTCCTTCAAATCTAAGATATCTTCAGAAAAAGAAATTTTTGTGGGATGTTAAACATTATTTTTGGGAAGAGCCTTTGTTATATAAATTTTTGCTGATAGTCTCATTAGAAGATGTGTGCCTGAAGAAGAATTTCATAACATATTGTATCATTGTCACTCTTTAGAGTGTGGTGGTCATTTTAGTACGAATAAGACAATAACTAAAGTTTGGCAATCTGGTTTTTATTGGCCTACTATGTATAAAGATGCTAGAGATTATGTTAGCAAATGTGATAGATGCCAACGAGTAGGTAACATATCTAAAAGAAATGAAATGCCTATGAATATTATGCTTGAAGTTGAGTTGTTTGATGTGTGGGGAATTGATTTTATTTGCCCCTTTCCTTCTTCCCATAACAATAGATACATTTTAGTTGCTGTTGAATATGTTTCTAAATGGGTAGAAGCTATAGCTACTCACACTGATGATTCTAAAGTTGTTATGAAATTTCTTAAAAAGAATATTTTTTCTAGATTTGGTGTTCCTAGAGAGATTTTAAGTGATGGAGGCTCTCATTTTTGTAATAAGCCGTTTGATTCTCTTTTAAGAAAGTATGGGGTTAAACATAAAGTTGCATTAGCTTATCATCCTCAAACCAATGGTCAAGTAGAGCTTGCTAATAGAGAGTTAAAACAAATTCTAGAGAAAACTGTGAACATTTCTAGGAAGGATTGGGCTAATAAGATTGATGATTCACTATAGGCGTATAGGACAGCCTTCAAAACACCTTTAGCCATGTCTCCTTATAGGCTAGTTCATTGAAAATCTTGCCATCTTCCCGTAGAAATAGAGCATAAGGCATTTTGGGCTATAAGGGAGTTAAACATGAAGCTTAAGACTGCTGGGGCTAAGGGATTGCTACAATTGATTAAATTAGAAGAGTTTAGGTTAGATGCTTATGAGAGCGCTAAAACATATAAAGAGAAAACTAAACTTTGGCATGAAAAGCACATTAATCACAAGACTTTTGAAGTGGGACAGAAAGTTTTACTCTTTAACTCACGCTTGAAATTGTTTCCAGGAAAGTTGCGATCTAGATGGTCCGGTCCATTTGCTGTTGTGAAAGTTTATCCATATGGTGCAGTTGAAACACAAGGAAAATCTGAAGTTTTCAAGGTGAATGGTCAGCAACTTAAACCTTACTTGGTTGATGAGATGGTGCCTACTTGAGTGACTTACTCCTTAGAAGAACCCACTGAAGATTAAGCACCAAAATAGTTAAGCTCGTGACTTAAAACACGCGCTTCTTGGGAGGAAATTCAAGTTCTTTTTCTTTTCCTTTTTTGGTTTTTGTTTGTTTTTCTCGTTCTTGTTTTATCTTTTCTGTCTATTTGTTCTGTTTTTTTGCAACTTAGAAAATAAGATGGAGAGCTGGACACTTTAATTCTAATTGAAGAAAAGAGAGTAACTGTTTTTCTAGCTATAATTTGCTAGAATATGCTGCTTTAAAGTTGTCATGTGTCATGTGGTGTAGCTGCTTGCAACCAGTTCAGTTGTTTTTCCGAGTCGAAAATGCTGCCCTCTTAACATTCAGTGGAGCTGCTGAGATTTTACATTGAAGGAAAAAGCTTCAGATTTTGCTACCAGGTTGTCTCTTTCCTTGTTTCCCTTCTAAGTATTTTAATTTTCAGCATGCTATAAATACTCCGACTCTCTGCTTGCATTTCAGTTCTTTTTATAAACATTGAGGACAATGTTTGTCCTTAAGCGTGGGGGAGAGGTTTTTGAAATTTTCTGCAACTGCCTTTTGTATTTTTTCCATGTATGAAGCATGGATGGGATTTTGTGCAAGTTTTGAATGACTTAAAATTTTTTATATATGCCTGTTTTAGGGGAAGTGCTGCCAAATTTTCTGCAGAATTTTCATGAAAAAAAAAAGTTTCGTTTTGATTGTCACTAATTGACTTGTTTTGGATCAATAAAAAAATATACATGGTATGTAAAGATAGCATAAGTCCTTCATTAACATTGGTTGTGACATTTTTTGTGACTTTGTGGTAAGATGGATTTCTTTTCCCTTATGCGATGAATCCCGAAAGGAGGGCCACGAACCTCGTAAGACTCAATTTTCAACATATATATCCTTCTTCTTAATCGCTCAAATTGGGACTTGCATTATAGCTTCCTGAGACCAAAAACCATTAAGCGTGATTACAAGTACAAATTCCCTTTAAATTTGCATAAAAGGTGTGATCAAGCAATAACAATAAATATAATCAAGCAACATAATAAATTAAAAAAATAATAATAATTAAAATAATCATTGATCATAAATTATAACAATTATAATCATAATTAAAATAATAAAATTAATCATAATTAACATAATCATGTTAAAGCATAATAATAATAGCAAGATCCTAGGCATGATACTAACAAGATTAATAACAAACCCTAGTATGTCACTAAACATCAAAAATCAAAGCTTTAACCCTAACATGATACTATTAGGAAAGACAATAAAAGGCGTCATAGAAATCATAATTGACATTATATTCTTTACCCTAAACATGATACTAGGAACTTATTGTTGTCACCCTAAACATCAAATTAAGAAAAGCATCCTAACATGATACTAGGAATCAAAATAGGAACCTAAACAACTATATCATAATATCAATAAAACAATTAAAACACTTACTTGGATGCCTCGTATCTCTTTCTAATAACAAAATACACATGTTAGTAACTTCAAGGAAAATAATAAAAAACAATTAAATTAAATAATTTAAAGAGAAATTTGGGACCAAACCCTCAGAAATTAAAACCTTTCACGTCTAGGGCGAAGGCAACTTCGAATAATGCTAGGTGTATCTAAGTATCGTGAATGCGGAATTTTGTAAAAGAGGGTAGGTTTAGAAAAGAGAGAGAGAGAAGCTTTATCTTAGAAAGAAAAGAATTAGAAAACTAGAGAGTCGATGATTGTAGATGAATGAAAATGGAGTTTTTAGGAGGCTATTTATAGAAAAAATCAGCCAAAAAGATAGAAAATCGAACCAGAGTTCTGACGTGAAAAAACAGAGTTAGCGCCAGGCGCCAGGCGCTAATTCTGGCGTTAGGCGCTAACCAAGTTTTTGACGCATTTTTTTAAATTCAGATAGAAATTAACCGTATAGGAGGATAAAATCGTATTTTCCTCAAAAACACTCTTTTATTCTGATTAAAACCCTAAAAAGTCAACAAAAGTCAATTTATCAATGCTAATTGAATTAGGAATGAAAAGAACCTTATAGAAGAATCTAGAAGACTAAAACCATTCCTAATTTAATTAGGAATGATAAATCCGTATTAGGCCCTCCCCTAGATCATTGGGCCGCATATAATGCTCAAATCGAGCCCAGTTTAGTAATTTGACCATAACTTCCTCAATATTCATCGGAATTGGGCTTATAGTATATCGTTGGAAAGCTCTTTTCAAACCCCATAAAACTACACCATTATTAGACCCTTGCTATGAACTAACCAAACTAGATTGGCTGTTTTCTTAAAATAGATTTTCAAAAACAGAGAGAAAAGAAAAGAAATTAAAATTATCCGCAACACTAGACTTTCCACACTTTCACTTTATTCGATTATGATTCGACGTGAAAGGTACTCATCACCAGGTTTGGTTTTGGGGAGACACAAATGGGTGTCTACACATTTAAATGAGTTCCACATACTCCTTTGTGGACTATTCTCATTACCTGTTGGGCTTCCTTTTTACCTATGCATAAGAGAGCTCGACCTTTAGGTACCTTTTTATTAAGCTCATTGTCTAAGAGAACATATTGGGAAGCCAAAAGCCTTAGGGCTCATTTTACTCTTTTGTCAGCGTGGAGTGGGTATTCTCCTTTAGTGATATTGTTGATGATGTCTACCAAGGTTCTTCTTCTTCTTCTTGAAATACCTCATCATCCTCTCTTACTTGAATGTAAGCCGTTTTATGCCTCTATTCTATAGTCAAGGGCATTTGCTCGATTTCTGTGGGAATTCTAACCATCTAAGCTAGCCTTGCCAAAGCATCAGCAAATTGGTTTTCCTCCCTTAGTAGATAGGTGTACTCTACCTTTTCTAATTGATTAGTGAGAGTTTCTAGATATGTTTGGTAAGGGGCTAAACTTTCGCTCCTTAATTTCCACCTTTTGGAAATTTGGTTGATGATTAGAGATGAATCTCTGAATATTCGAAGTTTATTTACCCCCAAAGCTAAAGCTGTTTCGAGGCCTACCACACATGCTTCATATTCTGCAGCATTATTGGTAACGACAAAATCTAACTTTATAGAGATTGGGACATGTTCCTCTTTTGGTGATACTAACAATACTCCCACACCATAACCCTTTTAGTTTTATTTTCAATCGAAGTTTAACGTCCACGTATTGTCCTCTATAAGCATTAAATCATCATCTGGAAATTCATTTTCATGTATGGGAGTTGAATCTTCTATGGGGAAATCTGCTAAGAATTCTTAGACCACTGATCCTTCATAAGCTTTTTGGGGCATAAAACCATACATCAAATTGGGCTAAGTTGATTATCCATCTTGATATTCGCCCATTAAGTGTAGATTTCTCGAAGAGATACTTTGGTGGATCCATCCGAGATAATACATAGACTGTATGAATAAGCATGTAGTATCTTAACTTGGTTGTGGCCCACACTAATGCGAGGCACAGTTTTTCAAGGTGTATAGTGTACTTCATACTCTAGCATCTTTTTGCTTAAGTAGTAGATGTCTTTTTCATTTCCTTCTACTTCTTGTGCGAGCATAGACCCCATTGTCTCTTTAGTGACTGTAAATATAACCTTAGAGGGATTCCCGGGATTACAGTTGCTAGTATGGGATGATTAGCGAAATAGGCTTTGATTTTCTCAAAGGATTTTTGGCACTCATTGTCCCATGTAACTGGCACATTCTTCTTCAATTTCTTGAATATAGGTTCACATATTGTGGTTAACTTGGATATAAACCTACTTATATATTGCAACCGGCCAATGAATCCTCGAATCTATATTTCTCGATCTTGGGCAGCGGTATTGACATGATTTCTTTAATCTTAATTGAGTCTACCTCTATTCCTCTAGAGCTAATGATGTATTCCAAGAGTTTTCCTGAGGTTACTTCAAAGGCACATTTAGATGGATTTAATCTCATATTATACTTTCCCAGCCTTTCAAAGAATTTTCTTAAGGCTACTAAATGTCCTTGACGATCTTTTGATTTTACAATCATATCTTCCACGTAGACCTCAACTTCTTTATGCATCATGTCATGCCACAAGGTAGTTGCTGCTATTTGGTAAGTGGCACCCGCGTTTTTTAACCCAAATGGCATTACCGTGCAAAGCAAGTACCCTATGGCATTACAAATGTTTTCTTTTCCATATCTTCCTCGGCAATGAGAATCTGGTTGTACCCCGCGTATCCGTCCATAAATGAGATAAGAGAATGATTTGCTGTATTATCTAACAAAATGTCGATGTGTGGTAAAGGGAAGTCGTTCTTTGGACTTGCCTTATTTAGATCTATGTAGTCGACACACATTCTTACCCTACCATCCTTCTTTGGAACTGGTACCACATTTGCAACACATTTTGGGTATTTGGATACTCTGATAAAACCTGCAATAATTTGTTTTTGAACTTCTTCTTTTGTTTTAAGAGTTACATCGGGTTTCATTCAATGTAACTTTTGTTTTACAGGTTTCATTCCTGGAATTAGTGGTAGTGTGTGTTGAGCTATTTCTCTATTTATTCCTGGCATATCTTCATATGACTAAGCAAATACATCGATAAATTGTTTAAGTAGATTAATTAAGCTGGTTCTTTCTTCTTTAGTAAGAGTTAGTGCGATTTTAACTTCTCTTTTTATGTTTGAAATATCCACCGTTTCAGTTTCTTCTATTACTGGTGTTTTGTTTTCAAGTGTTTCCACTACTTTAATTATCTCTTTGTAACTTTAATTTCTCATGGGTTGCGGACCCGCCCTCCTCTGGGTTTCTAAAGTTCTTCTCGAGGCTTCATGAGTTCGCAAAGGGACTTCAAGGGAGCGCGCAATATGATGATGATGAACACTAAGAGAGTTAGTTTCAAAAGCACTTGATAGTGGGTTCAACACCACTCCTTCATGAGAGCACGGCTTGACAGCGCAAGAGCTAGAACTTGGAGAAATCGTTTCCTTGCACCTTA